CATCTCTTATTGATCGAGTGTTACTACAGGAGGAAACTTAAACTAAACTAACTTTATTTATACTGGATAGCTCTATCAGCTCTAAACTGTTCTTCCTAGAGGTCCAGTAAGGATCATCTCTTATTGATCCAGTGTTACTACAGGAGGAAACCTAAACTAAACTAACTTTATTTATACTGGATAGCTTTATCAGTTCTAAACTGTTCTCTCTAGAGGTCCAGTAAGGATCATCTCTTATTGATCCAGTGTTACTACAGGAAGAAACCTAAACTAAACTAACTTTATTTATACTGCATGGATAGCTCTACCAGTTCTAAACTGTTCTTCCTACAGGTCCAGTAAGGATCATCTCTTATTGATCCAGTGTTACTACAGGAGGAAACCTAAACTAAACTAACTTTATTTATACTGGATAGCTCTATCAGTTCTAAACTGTTCTTCCTAGTGATCCAGTAAGGATCATCTCTTATTGGTCCAGTGTTACTACAGGAGGAAACCTAAACTAAACTAACTTTATTTATACTGGATAGCTCTATCAGTTCTAAACTGTTCTTCCTAGAGGTTCAGTAAAGATCATCTCTTATTGGTCCAGTGTTACTACAGGAGGAAACCTAAACTAAACTAACTTTATTTATACTGGATAGCTCTATCAGTTCTAAACTGTTCTTCCTAGTGATCCAGTAAGGATCATCTCTTATTGGTCCAGTGTTACTACAGGAGGAAACTAGAGTACCTGGGAAAAACCTGCTGTGTTTGGCAGAGTCAAACAGGAAATCATCACATGCAACTGAGGTGAAATTAAAACACATTTCATGTGTGGATTAAACAAACTATATGACTTCTTTTTTAGGCTAATATTTTTAGAACTAAAACTACTGAATCTCTATCATTCCCTCTGTGTGTAATGACCGTTGTCAACTCTTCACTGTGGATGACCTACGGATATTTAATAAATGATGTTTACGTTATAGTAAGTATATTGGAGAATACATCATAGTTGGATTATACTAAGTGCTCTCATGCAGCAGATAGTATGGCCAACTAACAGTTTTGGAGTAGATATTAAACCATGTTAATTTTTTTTATAATATTAGTAGTGTTGCATCTGGTATATAGTCTGTAAAGATACGATGGTTTGGAAGCCAGGCAAAGTTCAAGGCCACAAAATAGAAGAGCTTTGTTTGATGTTGAACTGTACCTCACCCTACACAAATCCTTCGTCTCAACTTCATTAAATATTATCCGACGTGGTTGCACTTTACATCTCAGTTATCGCCAATTGGACGCTTACGTAATTATACGAAAATACAACGCGTTTTATAACCGTGACCGCGTACACGAATCAACATGAAATCAGACAAAAACGGCATAACACAATGACTTCTGTATACTGTAGTTTCCAGAATCCAGACCATCATATTTGGTAACCAATAAGTGTAATTTAGAGATTTAGTTTAATTTGCTAGTATAACCTCAAAGCTTAATTGCCTTTTTAAGCTTTTTTGGGTCCGTTCTGCCGGATAGGATAGCGATTTTGTCAACCGTTGCCTAAATGCTTACAAAGCTATAAAATTATGGATATAGACTTCACAATTAATGAAGAGAAACTTCAATTTATAAATGCTAAAGTTTAATCTGGTTCTGGTTATACCAATCAAGGGCAAGGGACAATTTTCGGAAGTATGAAAAAATCATTATCCGGTTTATAATGCCATCTGGCTTTCGTACAACTGGCTTGGCCAGAAGTTGAGCACCATCTGCTTTATAATACTTCCAACCTCCTGAAACCTATCAACCACAAAATTGATAAGCTTCCCAGCTCAGGCCAATATTCACACTTTTTTTTCATCGTTTCAGATACCAAATTTCCTTGGTCTTCTACTGGGACTCGTTCAAGTCGCGTTATTCTGTATTTATCCATCAAACGCAAAACCTGTCATAGTTTCACTGTAAAACAGTATCCTTCCCAAACGCAATGAGTACTTGAACTTCCCGAGTCATTGGAAATTTTTTGCCATGTTGTGAACTCTGTATGACATGGTGAAATCTGTCCTCAATGAACGGGATTGTAACATTTAAATGTATTTAACTATAGTACAATATATGGAAATGTAACTAATTGGCCCACGGATGATCCAAGAGCTTCACTACTTCAGGAAGGAAAAGATATATAATCTCGCACAGTGTATATGTCTATAAAACGAGGAAACAGAAAGATCTTCCGTGAAGATGAACTAGTTGAGTCTAGTTCTGCTCAGAAGAACTTCCGTGCGTAATTTCCATTGCCAGAAAAGGTCGGGTTACAGTATTCTAGATGGTTCGAATAGGACGAATAGTATAAACGTGTTGCCTTGTGATCGATGATCCGTTCTCAAGTAACAAACCAAATGTATCAATTATATTTTTACACGTATGCAATATTTCTTTTCAAAACAAAAGAGCCGTCGAACCAGGCGTGTCTTCCAATATTATCTGCATCCGAATCAGAGCGAGCTTCCTGTGTTTATTTTTAACCATGAATTAATAATGATCATAAATTATACCTAATGATGAGCCAACCCCTGTAGCTTTGGTATAAACAATATTAGATGACCCCTGGTTCTGACCTGGTTTCAGTACATGTCAACATATTTTGAATAATACAGTGTCGTTTAATTTGATACATCTCTTAAAACCATTTATCCCTGCTGGCTCTTTGCTTGCCTGTCGCCTTTCGTGGAAATCATGTCGTTCAAGGTTGTACATTTGTATAAACGACTGACTTGATACCTCGTTTGCTGGCACGGCCAACGGGTTTATTCAATATGTAGGTTTATAAGCGGTTTTCTCAGAAACTACTGTCAATCGTAATCCACACCAACAAAAGTCGCAAACGAACATACAAACTCAGAGAGAAAACGATTTATGTAGAATGGGGACTCCCTGGAGTGCACAGATGTCAAATCCTCGTGTACGATAACAAAAACAAGAAACGTTATTTACAAATGAAGATTGAAGAAAACTGCCTATTGCCTTTTCTGAATGAAGTAGCCTGTCATGCATAATGCCAGCCTTTGCAGAGTGTGGAAGGAACCCACATCATCGTTTTGTGGTCATTGAATGTGCACGCCAAAATGTCAGTTTATGGTTGAAAAAATTGTTTGAAATAGCACCTAAAGTGAAAAACTTTTTTTTTGCAAATCGTACATATAATTCGGGCGAATTAATAGTATTAAAAAAGTAAGACTAAATACATTATACATAAGTAGCAGTGAGTGATAGGGAG